TGTATGTATGTACGTATGTATGCATGCGCATGATGCGATTGCACGCAGGTTTTTGCCCATGTATGTTGGTATCGAGTTGCAACTGAAACAAGAATCTGGACAGGCAGTTGCACCACATATTCCAAGGCATTGCTTTTGAACATCTGCTCGTCGGTGTGCTTCTTACCGTGATTTCGACAGCTAGTACTCGCCATGCAGCTGCTTCAACTACGCGCGCGGAAATGGCGCCACTAAGCCGGCTTTTGTCCCGGTGGTCGAAATCTGAACCCTAAACTTTCCCTAAACCCTAAACCCTAAACCCCTAAAGCCCTAAACCCTAGAAGCTCAAGTAGCTTCTAGAGCTTCTAGGGTTTTTGAACCCTAGAAGCTCTAGAAGCCACTGAAAACCCACCACGGGTGTTCGGTGTAGGGTTGAAGGCGCGAGGGCGCGTTCATCTCTAATTTTCGGGTACTGTTGGGGCCTAAATTTAAATGGTCAGCAATACATAGCAATGCTGATCCTGATTATGTTTATGGATCCTTCTTATAAGTGTTAAGTGTACTGTGCTGATACTCTAATCTAGGACATTTCAGGTGGGTAGTTACCGTTATAGGAGCCTTGTAGAAGGTCTATATGCCTTATAGAAGCCCTATATACCCTAAACTCCTCACCTGCAGTTTCCTTTAATCTAAGCTGAGTCAGGGAGTGATTGTCAGATTCTGATGAGAGCTGAGATTACTTTTGGCAGCGTGCGCAGGGTTGTCCAAGACTTCCACCTTCATCCTGCGACTCGCTCAATGAACCCTAAACCCTAGACCCTAAACCCTAAACCCACGGGCTTTGGACCCTGCATGCGGGAGAAAGAGCCAGTACACTTTTAAAAAAAACCCGAAACCCTCAACTCAAAACATGGCACCCCATAAGCCTCTCAGACGGCCCACACTGTAAAACCCGGAAGGCCCTCTGCAGAAGACTTGCATCGGTGATGTCCTCGCTTTCTTCGCCGGGGTTCGAGGTGTTCGGCCTTTTCCCTCCTTAATTGAAGACTAGAAAAGGGACTTGATGCCAATAGCTTACCCCTACCCCTCAGCCATCCTAAACCTTTTTTATTGAAGGATGATTGATCAGGTGCCTAGATCACCTCATCGGCGGTCTGCATCTGACTTACTTGAGCCCCTTCACGCAGATATCGGAAGATCCCCCCAACTCCATATCTTCTGAAATGAGTTTGGGGTTTGAGTACTTCAAGGATCCGGGGGACTTCGCTCGGGTTTCCGTACCTTGACCGCGGTTACGAGCAGTGAGAACCTTGAAAACAACGCCCTTTTAGCCCCCGAGCCTGGTGGCCCTTACCGACTGTACTTGGAGGTTCATGGGTAGCTAGAAGTGGGGTGTTCTATGTAGGGTAACTATAGAGTTAAAAGTTCTAGCCCATATTAGGGGGGCTTATAACCCCACTTGCAACTGCCCATGAATCTCCAAATTAGGGTCCCTCTTAGGGTGCAAATATAAGGGTGTCGTACTATGTTGGGCACTTGGGCACCTCATTTAGAGAACGGCCCAGGTATGCCGACTACGCTGCGGACTATGTTTTGGCTGCTTCTGCTTCGGGCCCTGTGCCTCGGGCGGGGCATAAACTTAAGTAGGGTTTAAGGCTTTCGGGTTTAGGGTTTAGGGGTTCAGGGGTTTAGGGGTTTAGGGGTTTAGGGGTTTCGGGGTTTCGGGGTTTAGGGTTTGGACGGTTTAGGCTGAGGGATTGTTCATGATGGCCTAAGGTTTCAGACCCCGGAAGCATCCACTTAGATTGAGATTTGCGGATGAGCGCAAAGGGGTCCTGGGTGGCTTCGAGCGTTTCGGTTTGGAGGAGTCCACCTAGCTGCTTTCCGCGAAGGCTAAACAGGGTCTTCTGCAGGAAGCTATAAGAAATTGTTGCCAACGTGAAAAACAAGTCCCCAAACAATAGCCTAATAGACTCTCTTTCTACGCATTGTCAGTACTACGCCGACGACAATGATTACTGCATCTACTTCTTCTTCGAGTCGCACATCTTCTATTTTGCTACCTCGTCTTATACTAAGACGACTACAAATCATGCATGCCTAGACTAGATTCGGGCTTCCAGGTATTCCCTGCATCGACGACGGGCCACTGCGAGCCTCCCCCGGACGCTCCAGTTCGCGACTCTGCGAAGAAGTTCGACGGTTTGACGAAGCCTTCGGCCCGAGTTGATTCAGCGCATAATTGGTCTATTGTTTGTTTGAGGAGGAGAATATACCCCGATTCCCCGATCGAAAGGTTTCGGTTTCTAAAAAATCATCAGGAGCGAAAAGGCACAGGGGAGTTGCACGTTCTGCGACAACAGAAGAGCCGTCTGCATTTTTGGCACTACCAGCCAACAGAAAGGGATGTGGGAAGAGTAGTTACTTGCCGTCCTAAACCTTAATTAAGCCCGAAGCCATTAACCTTCGACCCGAAACCCGAAACCCTAAACCATCAACCCTAAACACTAAACCCTAAACCTAAAGGAACCCTAAAACCTCATCCCTAAACCCTACATGTTCAAGGAATCCTTGTAGGAACCCTACGCCCTAAAGGACCGGAAGCCCTTTCTGGCCTTCTCGGGCTCCGGCCTCCTCTTCGCCTACTACCATGGCGTGGCCGCAGCAGCCGCAGTGAGGGGATTGAGGAACTTGAAGTATTCTTAAGGGCTCCAGAGAAGCTGAAAAAAAATGTCCCAAAAGGGCTCCTGTGTCAACTGTCTGCACAGGATTTTGTGTTGTTTGTTGGCTGCTCTGCAGAGCCTTGTGAGCTCTCTGGGAATATCGGATATCGGCTTCAGGATTGAGTGATGCAAAGGCCCGGATTTGGGACCGGAGGCTGTGAGGAACCTGGCTTCATTGACTGTCGCCCAGCTCAGACCCTAGAGTCTGCCCCAAAACCCTCAACCCTAAACCCTAAATCCTAAACCCTTAAGACCCTAATAATTACCCTAAACCCTAAATGCAGAGTTCAGCCAGCATGTCCAAAAAATCCTAAACCCTCAGGTCACTTACATCCGTGATCATTTCTATGTGGACAACTTGCAGCTGTCGGGCATCAGCGGAGGCGCGTTGGGCGTCTCGTACTGCTGCCGCTATTAGTATCATAGTATCATTGTTGTTATTGTTATTTTTATTGTTATCAGTATTGTCGTCATTATGATGTATTACTAGTAGTATTATGTTTATGATCATTGGTATTCCCGCCACTGCTGCCGAACTGCTACTGCTCCTTAATAATGATACTAATGGTGATCACAGCTTAGTGCGCCATTCCGCTGCCTTCAACAGATACCTCCCCCTCTGAAGCTTTCTGCCACTGCAGGCTGTTCCACATTGCTTGCCCTGGCGATGGGCATCGACCTGTACGAAGTTCTGCTGCTTCTGGCACAGAACCGGAATGATTTTGTGCGTTTCAGTGGTTCGAAGTTGTAGGGTTTAGGCTTTAGTACTTTGGGTTCAGCCTAGCTTAGGGTTAATAGTGAAGGGTTTAGATTTCGGTGTGGTGACAAAGCTCCGATCACCTTCACCTGAAACCTAGGAGAGATTTCACTCGTAGTAGTTGCCAATCTGGTCGATGGAGCACTACTCGCAGGAGTGCTAGTCTTAAACCCTAAAACCTTGTCCCCTGAACCCTACACCCCCTCAACCCTAAACCAGGAGATTCAGACCTGGACCTGTTTTAGGGTTTAGGGTTTAGGGTTTAGAATTTAGGGTTTAGGGTTTAGAATTTAGGGTTTAGGGTTTAGGGTTGAGTCAAGTAGGCATCTTGGGTTACGAAAGGAGATCCGAGGAGTAGGCTCTGGTAAACATGAGCTGGGGAGATGGTCGGGTTTCGAGTCCATACCCATAGGCTCCATCGTAGTTCCTTTTGGGGGCTTAGAAGGGTTTAGGGTTTAGGGTTTTTTAGGGTTTAGGGTTTAGGGCTCCATAGTAGTTCCTTTCTGTGGATTACGTGACAGGATCCCAAATGCACGCCACAAAAAGGAACTACTATGGCGCCTATGGGTAGGGTTTGGGGTTGAGGCTTTCGCAACTGATGGCAGTAATGTAGGAGCCCCAAGAATTACCAATACCATTGTGGGGTCTATACCCATAGGCCCCTAAGTAGATCCTTTTTGGGATTACCTTATAGGATTCAAAAAGAACCATAAAAAGGAGCTACTTAAGGGCCTATGGGTATTCTTAAGAAGCCCCAACACCCTATCGAAATGCAGAAATTATTAGGGCCCATGCATTAGTCTTCCTTCGCGGGGAGCCTCAAAAGATCTATGGCGGCAAGCGAACGGACCCTACTTTTCACGATGCAAGACAAAGCTGTAAACTTCCAAAGTCGTGACATGCGCAACCCTTCTGAACCTTGATACTGTACACTGATCATAGCCTTTAGGCTGTGACTTGGGTTCGGGCTACACAGCTGCGAAGCAATGCTTACAAATGCGGAACATTCTCTCAGCACTCCCCCTGAACGCCATAGGAGTTCACTCTTGAGAGAAGGTTAAAATCTGTACATCTACCTAGCCGCTAGAACCACCTCCTAACCGGCCGGGGGACAAAGGGAACAACTTACAGGCTCCCAGCAAGGAAAGATGTGATCCCGAATCCAAACGGGGATCATCGACAGATCGCAAGGGGAGTGAGCCTCCAGCCTGACCCCTTTCAAGATACGACATAAAAGATGTTGGTATTCGACCACCACTTGGGGGCAACCCAGGTGGAGCCCAGCGGGATCAAACCAGACCCCGAATTTCAAAGCAAACTTGATGAAGCTGAAGACAGGGATTCACGGCTCAGGCCGTCCCAAGTCCCCAAGTCCAACTGAGGGTTCTCAGGAATCCTCCAAACACATTGGCGGAGCATGGTGGCGCGGCGATGCCGCCGAGGTTCTCAGTGGGGTCGGTACCCCGCCTGAGGCAAGGGTTGGCTCGTGGATGCCTCCATTGAAAGGCGTGCACAGTCTACTCCCTTGCACCTATAACCTCCTATCCACCCCTGTTTCCGCGACGATTACGCACTCCAGGCAAGCAGTGCCTGCACGGTACGTACCGAGTTCCCCCATTGTGTCGTAGGGTGCATCCGGCGACATGGTACCGCGATGTCCAAAACCACATAGCAGGTTGACTGCTCACCCACTCCAGGGTGGGATCTGTAATGCACCGGGCACACGGTTCGTAGGACGACACGTTGGTGCAATGCACCAGTTGGGAGCATCCCATCCGATGAAAACATCCCCCTGCATTCGTAACGCACAGCGGAAGACTAGGGGCCTCTTCCTGTGGGTCCTGGGTAGGCCGTGGCACTCTCATTGGCCCCAACCACGCCCCTGCTGACGACGATGCCTGTCCGTGCATCTCTGTGGGAAACGCCATCATGGCATCATCCCCATATCGCACGAACGTTCCGTGCGCCGCCTCCGCATAGTCTTCGTACGTCCACGAACCCAGCCCTGGTCTGGGCATCGCGGTTCGCTCAGACCGCACGGGGTCCGTCTGACTCCCCCGAGCTCTGCCTCCTGCACTCTCAGTTTGAGTGCCCTGGGAGGTTACATTCCGCCTCGTAGAACTCGTAGCCAAACACCGCAGCGTCAACTTCGCTCCTTCCCACAACAAAACCACCACCATACACACTACAACCCAGAACCACCCTTCAAGAGCTCCAGGTTCGTCTCCAGCAGTGGGTTGTCCCGCCGCCCCCTGAGCACACGTTGCAACCACAAGCACCACCAGGGCTCGTCTCAGCGACTCTGTGTTGCGCAGCTCGGCGGCTCGATTCGAGGGTAATGACGCGAGCTCACACAGTCGAAGGAGCATGTGGAATCTCTCACGGGGGAGGGCCTTCGTTAACACGTCGGCGCAAAGACATGCTCCGGGCAGATGGGTGACTATCCACCCCTTTGAGACCTGTTCCTGTAGCCACGCCCCCTTTATTCTCAGGTGCCGTGTGCGCCATGTTCCTCCCGGGAGGGACACCACTGCCACCGATGCTGTGTTGTCGGTGTACAGCACAACCTGAGTTCTTGGGATGAGATGCCCTTGCTCCTGCAGCAGAGCCATTGGCTGAATCTTCGCACGGCCCCACAGGAACTCGTTGATCAAGGGGCAAATGGATATGACAGCTTGCCCCGAGTCGCTCAGAGCCCCAAGCTCTGATTCACACGTTGACATCGTCATGTAGGCTTGTTTCTTGCTGCACCAGTTTACTGTGGCACCGGCCCACACAGTCAGGAAGGCTCCATGTGAGCGAGAGCTCTCCGGTGCAAACGAGGCGTCGCTGTACCCTTCTACAAGGCTTTCTGATCTCTCAACCTTAAGGGCTCCCTCGGGGCCCTTGTCGTTGGGTGCCGTCCCATACTTCAAACACACCTCTGGGTAGGCTTTAAGATATCTGAGAACCTTGATGCCTCGCTCGATGGCCGCGGTGGGGTACTTGGTCATCCATGCGGAGATGACTGACACAGAGTAGGCGAGGTCGCATCTACTGTGTGTGGACAGCCACAACAGCTCTCCCCCGAGCTGTTGGGCCTTCTGCACACGGCCTTCAAAACCACCTAGGTCCTCTTCATCTGGGGTCTGTGGCTGACCCTCACATGGCACTTGCAAAGGCTCCCCAACCTCATACCTCTGCAACAGTTCCTGAATGTATCTGGTCTGGTGCACATACAGGGTACCATCCAAACCTGAAGACACCTCGAACCCGTTAAAGGTAACCGACCCGGTCTCAGAGAGCAGTGCGGGCTCGGTGCACTTCCAGACCTGACACAGCTTGTCCAAGGTCTGGCTGACATGTGAAGTTTCCCCAACCGCCAACATGTCATCGACACACAGCGCAAGGTACACAACGACACTGTTGTCTTCCTCACGGTATACAGTCCAAATGTTCGGGTCGCTGGTCATCGGGCAAATCCTCACTGGGGCACCATCAATGTCGAAACGCAGCTCGCTGAGGGTTCCGTCCCGGTGTACGGACCAGCTGCGGGGGCTGATAGTCAGCCCGTACAGGGCTTGATGCACAGACCAATACTTTTCCTCGCATATCCCGTGCCGTCTGAACATGGCGGGGGTCATGACGACGATCTGCACCCCGTTTGACAACAACGGTGCTGAGAGGAATGCCTGCTTGACATCTATGATCCCCAGGTCAAGCCTTCTGAGCCCTGCGAACCTCAGCAGCGTTCGCAGGGTAACGGCGTCGATCCCTCCGGAGTAGGTGTCTGCTCGTGACCAGCGGTCACTGCGGGCAAAGTTTCCGCAACACACGCATCGCACCTTGCGACGCCCCTTGGGCGCCTTGATGCTGCAAATAACCTTGGCTGGTATCACCTCACACGGGGTACCTTCGCGCCTCCACTGTTCCAACATCGCTTCGCTCAGCGGCTTGACTGCCCTTTGCAGACCCTCGTACTCCTCCTTCATCGGGCCGACCCACTCGCTGGGGTCACGCTCAACAACGGCGTTGGGCACCACATGTGTCTGCAACACCTCGTCATAGGAGTGTTGAAGGTCCTGGGTCGCATGTTCCACCTGCTGTGCGGCACTGCGAAGGGACTCAGCACGTTCCCCTCCATTGGCGGAGTCACACACTACCGCCTGCACATGTAGGTTGCTCTCACGCTTAACTAGCGCCTGAAGCCTGAGCTGACAACGATCGAGCTCCTCCCTCGCATCCTCGTCTAGGGCGAGGGGAATAGCTGCGGCTACCAGTTCGCACACTCCGGGTTGGTTGCTGAGGGGGAATGTGTCGGCCCGGTGGAGTCGGCTGCACTCAAGAGGCACCTCAAAGAAGTGAGTCCCTTCCTCTGTTCGCTCCCCTTCTAGATCCTCCCAGTCTCCGGCCACCACATCGTCATCGGACCGTCCCTCCTCTTCACTGGCATCGCCTTCTGGTTCCTCATGGGCTCTAGGGGGACTAAACCCTATCGGGCTAAACCCTATCGAATTCGGGTTGTTCTGAGACACAGCTCCGCTCGGAGCACGAAGCGCAGCCACGCGCTCTCTTGCTAATTGCCTCTCCGCCTCTGCCTGCTCGACCTCCCGGGCGAAGTCGCTCTCCCCCCGTTGCGACATCCTCGGTGGGTCCACAATGCCACCGGCGGTGACAGCGCGAGTCACTATGATCCTCTGTATGAACGAGAGACCAGACACTCGCTCTCTCATGGCCAAGAACTGCTCCGGGGTGACTCCCTGTTCGTACAGACGGGGAAATCGGCTGGGGTCGAGGGTACCCCCAATTGTCTCTGGTCGGTAGCCAAACCTGCGCCTGATGCCTTGGTGCACTCGGCCCTCGACAAATCCCTGGGTCTCGGAGCGTGGTACCTGAGTGGAGGCCCAATGGACAGCCTCTGCCAGCTCGTCGGACATCGGGAGTTCCTGGGGGAACTCGTCGAGCGGCTCACACTGCTCATTGATGGTCCCCCGTGCTGCATGGTCGAGGACGACGAGTCCCAAACCCATCCATGCTGCGTGAGGGCTCACACCTTCAGTTTTACTGATGGGCTCTTGTGACTTCCAGGACCTATAGTAGCGACTTGCCTCCTCCTGAGCGGCGCTAGAGGCCTTGGACAAAACCTCCCTACACTTCAACCACACCAGATTCCCTTCGCTCGCCTCCAGGTTGCTGGATATCCACACGCGTGTCTGAAGCTCTTTATCGGGCGGTACAACCCCACTGGATCTTTCAGCTTCTGCCCACTCTGCGCAAGGACCCGCTACTTCCGGACTTGACACTCCACTCCACCCTACGCTACCAGATGTTTCCTCAATCATCCGTAGATGCACACCTGATGCCTTCGCTGAATGCGGCTCTTGAACACCTGATGCCTTCGCTGAATGCGGCTCTTGGACACCTGATGCCTTCGCTGAATGCGGCTCTTGAACACCTGATGCCTTCGCGAAATGTGTCTGCACTTGGACACCTGATGCCTTCGCTGAATGCGGCTGCGTCTGGACACCTGATGCCTTTGCTGAATGCGGCTGCGCTTGGACACCTGATGCCTTTGCTGAATGCGTCTGCACTTGGACACCTGATGCCTTTGCTGAATGCGTCTGCACTTGGACACCTGATGCCTTTGCTGAATGCGGCTGCCTGTCCCGAAGCGAGGCTACTCGAGGTGGGTGCCCCGGGTGATGTTGAGGATTGGGAATGGGATCTCGTCCCACAGCTTCGGCAGATAAAAACCGATCCTCCAAGGTCATCATTGATTCAATGAAGTACCACTTAGGCTCTTCATCCCCAAAGGACGCTCGGAACAGGTACCCATGCAGATTGGGTGCATCCTCGTATCCGATCCTCACCATACTGTGAACTTCTCCCAACCGGTCGAGCTCAAACTGGGTGTTGCGCTCGGTCAAACCATACGGCTGAAACCCAAACAACCATGGTACCGGGTTTTCATAACCTCCCCAGATCACCTCAAGCAGCGGAGTCTCTTCCCAAGACCTATTTCTGGCCAAGTACATCGAGAGGGCAAACGCTGAAAGGGGCCTATCCCTGACGTGATTTAAATCACCATAGTGTGGCCCAACCCGAATTTCCCGCCACTCAGAACGCGGTCTCCTTACTCCCTGTCTCCTTGCACGCTCAGCTTGAGCATCATCCAACACGGTGAACCTCTGTCTCCAGACGGGGGTCGGCACCGCGACATCCGCTCGGTCGTTGGTATCGAGCTTGGCGACTCGAGGGCAACCCTTTTCCAGAGGGGCCGCCGCACCTAACTCCTCAACCTGAACCGTGGGTTCCCGTTCTACGCAGTCACAGTCTTGCTTCATTTCCAAGGGCGCCTCTCGAGGCAGTTGGAAACCGGCCTGCCTCAGCCTCCACACTGTATTTTGCTCTGCGCGTTGAATGGCAGTTAGGCTATAGGCAACCAAAACCACACGTGATCCTTCCGACCATGGCTGTGAAGCATGAAACTTGCGTGGATCCAACTCGAAGGGCACCAACACCTGCAGCGGCCACAGTTCCCCTGCAATCATCTTTCCATTATTCAAGCACCTCTGGTCCCCCCCCTTTTCGGCCTGGCACCAAACACCTCCCCCCACCTTCGGGATGCATAGGGGCACAAGGACATTATTATACCCCGGCAGGTTGTTCTTATCTCGGTGCACCGCTGTGTCTACATCCACAAGGAGGGCTAGGGTGGTCCATCTGGCTTCGGGGGCACATTCCTTCACAAGGCGGGACAACAACACCACGAAGCCTGGAAACAGACGACACTCTGCGGTGATGCCCAACACTCCTCCATGGCGGAAAAAACCCAAGGTATGGGTATGTCTCCTTTGGAACACCTCGCCTCGGCTCCTTGGGCGCGCGGTTCTCATCCAACGGCTCCCGAGAACATGATCTCGAAGCTCTTGAAGAGACGTCCCGGGGTTCCGGGCCAACCGGAGGGCTTCAGCATCCTCCTCCTGCAACACGGGCGAGACCTCTCTAACCGTCCGAACGGTGCGTTTGGAAGGAATGCGGTGGGAGATGATGGGCACCGGTCGTTCATCTATCGGTAGGTCCCTGTGCAGGGGTTGCATGTCCCCCTCTTCACTGGGAACTGGCTCGGTTGGGTCCATCACTTCGGTGAGCAAGGTCGTGGTTATCATTAACCTACCATCGCTCAACAGCACCACATGCCCCTTAGTAACCTCAACCGACGGAGCCAATACCGTACCCACTAGACCCCTAGCTGCCCATCTCTGGCCCTTCCTGTTCCACCTTCGGTTTCTCACATAAACCTTGGTGCCGAAGGGGAGAACATTGCTGGGGGGTCCCCCAAGAGCGGGACTGAGCCTCGACCTCATCCTGGCGGCAACATGCTGCAGGGCAAACGGCCAGTACCGATGTTCCACAGACGCTGCCGTCATCAGTACCCTCGCCTGTCTTTTGATCCGATTGATCATACCTTCAACTCGCCCGTTCTGCTGATAATGGTCTCCTTCGCTAGTGGTCTTGAAGATCCCTCGATGGCGGAGGAACGAGCGGAGACGCTTGTTGCAGAACTCTCTGCCTCGGTCACTGTGGAGCCGAGTCACACAATACCCAAGGGCCTGGATCTGGGTAATCATGAACGCGATCCCATCAAGGACGGTTTCTTCCCGCTTGTTCGGGAGGGGCACCACAAACGGCAGCTCGTACATCTTAGAGGTCCTCAGGCGCTCCTTCTCCTGATCGGCCCATTCTCGGCTCATGACCTCCTCCTCACGAAGCTCGGCATCGGCGGCACGAACAAATTCCCGAGAATCCTCCTCCGCCTGTTCCCATTCCATGGGCCCTTCCTCTTCATGAGCCCAGAGACCATCAAGGTCCTCATCCAGGAGCGGCTCCCCCGGGAGCGAAGGTGCATACTCTTCGCAATCCACGTCTGAAGGTAGGTCTTGCGCCTCGGCCTCACCTGAAACCTCCTGGTGGGGGTCCTGCGCAGTCACCTGGTCCCGTTGTGGCCCTACAGACAACTCAGGCACAGTGTAGCAACCCACAAGACACCACACTACCTTAGGGTGATGTTCACTAACACCCCGCTCATATTTCCCAAGCAGGTCCACACTCAGAACAAACCCTTCTGGAGTTTTGATGCGGCGGTGCATTCGGGACTGAATACCTCCCTCAACGCAATGGCGACAATCACGTCGCCAGGGGAGGTGATCATGGGCTAGGTGCTGTCGAAACGACGCATCGGCCTTGACGCCTGCGGCTCGGAACGTGGCAGCCCGACTCAACATCCCTGTCTGCAGCTCAACCGCAGACCGCACAACAACTGAGATTGCTTCCTGGACACAGCCACTCCACAAGGTGGCTTCCGGCGCAAATGAAGGCACATCGCACAGTGCTTCCGACGGGAGCTCGGCATTGGTGAACAAATCCACCTTGCCCTTGCACAACACACGGTTCAGTTGTCGCTCAAGTATGACCTTGGGGAACTTAACAATTCCCGCGGGCTGGCCACTCGGATGGCCAAGGCACACCAAAGGCTCATAAAAGCACGCGGCAAGCTCCAGCAACACCATCAGGGCAAGGGTCTGCCGCCCCCTCGCAAGATCATCTCTGCTTTCAACCGGAAGCGACGTGTCACACAGGTTGAAATCGGCCGGGGCTGTTCCAATCACCCCTCGCAACTTGCCATCCACAGCAAGCTTCAACAAGTATCTCCAAGTGTCCGGCTCGCACAGTTCCTTGGTCTCAACATCCAAGACAACACACGGGCGAGCGGCTTCCTTGAAGGCTCTGGGATGCCCCACAACAACAAACGCACCATCCCGTTCACAGGCCCTCCGAACCCTGCGGTTCCACTTGGAGGCGGCACCGGCCCCAAGCCGGTCTGATTGTAGTGCGATGCTATCCACTAGGCACGCGGGGAGATCCCCGAACTTGTGGCTCAGCCACGCAGACATGAGCACCCCAACCTTATCATCACCACGAGCGGCCTGACACAGCCGATGCTGCAACACGGCAAAGTCCTGGGAGCTCAGGGAGGCCGCCTCGTCCCGAAGTGCCTTAATCACAATACGCTGGGCCTTTCGGTAGACCTCGATGTCACCAATCAACTCCAGCGCCAACTCACGAGGGACCTCAGGGCACCTATTGAGGGTCGATGGCCGGATGGTGCCCCGCTCGGGGTGGTTCAAGATGCACTCATGGCCACACCACGACAGCTGACACCCCATGTCAACCAAATCCGCAACGGACACCAAAGGATCAATATCCTCCGTAGACAACAACGTCCCACCCGGATTCACAAAAAGCTTAACAGTTCCAACTGCCAAGTTCACATTACGCAACTCACACCCTTCATCAAGCTCCCCTGGCCTGGCTTGCCTCATGGACGTGGACGCCCCCGTATCAAGGAGCCCGGTTCCCTCTAAGCCCTCAGTCGCGACTTCCAGTGCACGTTCGGGAGGAAACCTTCCCTGCCTCACCACCAGGGCTTTGAGCTTGAGTGACCTGATGACCTCGGTGGCCTCCTTGAGCAGATCGGCGGTGGTGGTCGGCTGGGCCCCTGACGTTGCATCCTGGGCCTCCTCACTGGTTGCCTCTTGAGCCTTCTGGAGCTTTGCGGCTCCCTCACCCTTCTTCGTTTTCCCACCTTTTCCGGACCCCTTCGTCCCCTTTCCTCCCTTCGGGGCCGAGTCGGCACTCTTCGCACTTGGAGTCGGCATTGACGGTCCTTCAGGTGGACCCCAAGGGCAGTCGGGCTTCAGATGTTGGTCACTAGAGCATGCCCAACACCTTCGCGTCCCCTTTAACAAGGCTCGGTCATGGTGGTCGGGGCATTGAGCTGCTTTCTTACACCCCTGACTAGATCCCCAAAACCGACAAACCTTCCTATCACCAGTGCTCAGTGAGGCGGCCTTAGGGGGAGCAGGAGGAGGCACTAAACCCGACTGTTCGGCACCTGTCCTTGCCTCGGCCTTGGCAGCCGCTTTCACTGCTGCGGCACGCTGTCGCTTGGGTCCCTGGGCACGGGGATCTTCCTGGATGGAGAGGGCCTCGTACTCGGCCAACAAGTACTCGGCTAACTCGGCAACCTTGGCTTGAGTGGGGGCGAAGTCAACACTGGACTCATTCCGGTACGCAGCCACACGGAAGGAAACCACCGGATGATCCCCCAGGCCAGACTGGGTCAACGAATCAAGCCCCTTCAAGAGCAAACTGGAGTCCGGGAGGACTGCTCCGAGCTCGCTCGCTCTCAACACCATGCGTCGCCACTTGCGAATGCCCTCCACCGTCTCCTCCACTGAGCTGGAAGCTTCTGGGTGGACCAGATAGTCCAACACCTGGGCACGCTCCAGCTTGCCTCCGGGCTGCCATCTACACAAGATGGCAAACACAATGGCGTTGACCGCCAGCGTCCTCGTCGCTATCAAATCCGTTCTGAAGGCCTCGGGGACCGCCTTCAAAAGGAGCTGCACTCCTCTCTGCTCCACAAGGCAGTACTTCCCAGCCTCAAAACTCTTCGCCATCGTAGACGCCTTCACTTGCAGTCTCTGCTGAGGCGTCGCACGCAGCCACCGCTCATAGTGGTCTTCTGCCTCTTTCAGATTCTGGGCCCACCAAGTCTGAGCACTCGGGGAGAGCTGCCTCATCAGCGGCGCCACTGCCGCCAACCAGTCGCCAGCCAGCACTGCACCCTGCGATCGCTGTCTGGGCTCTGCCAACGTCGGGAGCTCGGTGATGTGACGACTTGGCTCCTCGGGCTTACTCGGAGTGGTCCCGGGGGTTACAACCTTAGGGCTAGCTGGAGCTGGTCCGGCAGGGACTGGTGTCCCTCCAGGTGTGGAGCTCAGGCCGGGCGAGGTTCCTATCTTAGGGGTTGACGGTGGGGAGGTTGCCGGGGCCCTAGGAACACTATTTCCCCTAACTCCAGGTGGCGACGCATGCCTCAGGCTTCCAATGTAATATTGCGCCGGGCCTGCTTCCAGGCCCCCACTGTCGTTCACAACGACGTCACGCAGGTGGCCGTCGATGCGCACCTGAAGTTTCGTCCCCGGGGGCAACGCAGGTGGGGCTATGGTGGCCCCGGTCAACTCCTCAGTGCTCTCTCCCTCGACGCTGAGGGTGGCCTTCGTCGTAGCACTCATCGCAGTGCTGCCTTCGGACCCCCCTCCAACTGCCTTAGCCTCACCACTAACCCTCTTGCGATCTGCAGAAGCTAGAGGCTCAGACCTTTGTTGGGACGCCCTCTCTTGCAGCGCCTGCGCCTCAGCCTTCTGCAAGGTTGCACGCTCCTGTACAGCCTGTGCTTCGGGACTCGCCTGCCACGAACGGTCGTGCAACGCCTGGGCTTCGGGACCTCGGTGCCACGCTCGGCCGTGCAGCGCCTGAGCCTCAGAACCTAGTTGCCTCGATCGGTCATGCAACGCCTGTGCCTCGGATGCTAACTGGGCGTCAAACCCTTGCTGCAATGAACGGTCCTGCAACGCCTGGGCCTCGGGCAACACCTGGGCTTCAAACCTTTGCTGCAACGAGCGCTCCGGGCCATCGAAAGGACTGGGTTGCCAGGAGGTCTGGCCGAGGAATGGAGGGCCTGGCGGCGAAGAGGAAGGGAGGGCTGGAGGCGGATGGGGAAAAGTCCAAGGTGTAGGTTGTCCTCCAAATCCAGGCGGAGGCGAGGGACCACCACACCCACCTAAACCGCCTACCCCAGCTTCATGCCTCGACGTCCACCAGCCCGGTGGTCTCAACCACGGGTTAGCCAGTTCGGCTGGCCTCGGAAAGCTTTGTACATCGCCTGCTATGTACATGGTAGCATCACGGTGGCCGGAGGCAGCAGCGCGAGCTGTTGCCTCCGTATACCACCGATCCAAAGCAGTCTGGTCGACCCACCCCAGCCCTTGTGAAGACTCTGCAGATCTCCACGAGTGGCTGGAACGGACCTCCTCCACTCTCTCCAGTCTGTTGTTCAAAGCTTGTTGCCCTTGAACCAGGGTTTCCAACACGCTCGTCAGCTGCTGAAGTCGAGTCTCCTCAGACTGCCTCGATTCTGATCGCCTCCAGGATTCAGGCGACTCTTCCACGGCCACTGCCGGGACTGCCTCGGCAGGTCGAAGCGAAGCCAGAACTTCCTCCCCACGAGGCTCCTGGCCCACTACCTCAGGTAGTGCTTCTCCTTGTTGTCCAGGGCTTACGCCAGCCACACTTGGTCCCAGTGACTCCGGCTCGCCATACGGCGGCTCGAGGACCTCGTCCTCCATCATCCGCATCTGGCTCCTCGTCTGGGATTCCACATCGGGCTCGGCCT